GCTAATCCCTTGCATCTCTGCCACGCACGGAATCGGTTGAAAAAGTAATGTTAAAAAGTCTAGTCTATCCGGTGCATTGTCTTCACCGCTATTGTTATGCTGATTCCCCTGAAACCGTGGACCAGTGGAAAAAACTTGCGTTTTCAAGTTTATTATAAGTCAAGCCCGTCTAAGGAGGGTTAGCACTTGGATGGGTGACCTAAAAGTTGTACCTACTGAAGCTTTTGTTTCTACTTTGTTTCTACAAATGAATTGTCTTTCTAGGTCGAATGTACCATTTGCTCTTTTGTTGAAAGTAAATCTGATCGATACTTTACCTAAATGATACATTCAATTAGGGAACAAGTCCCTGTCACCTGAATTCAAAACGATGATAAATTAGATTTAAATTGGTGTTTATGACCGTCATTTATCAGTCCTTGCCTTCATTTACTTTATACTTTTCCTCTCTCTTCTCCTCTCTGGTTTCTCTCATCTTCTGTCCTATACTCAGTTTGTCTCTTTCTTATTCTTTTTCTATCATTTGCTAGATCATTTCAAAGTTTGTCTTCAAATTCTGTTCTGTTCTGTTCTGTTCTGTTCTGTTCTGTTCTGTTCTGTTCTATTCTGTTCTGTTCTGCTTCTTCATATCTCTCTCCGCACGCTTGTAAATGAATGACTTCCTAGATGACGAGAACGATAATTATAGTATAATTATCGTTCTCGTCATCTAGGAAGTCATTCATCTACAATCGTGCGTGCTTTCAAAACTCTCTTGAATAGTGAGATGCTAAAGTTACATTTACTTAAACCAATGTGAACCAAACAAGCTACGCGGTCACTTGGTCCGCGCGTCGCCTTCTCATGTCTTTGAAACATGTGCCACCCTTAGCCCTTGGAGCAAGTTAGTCACGTCAGAAACACGCAGAAGTATATACGGAGTGAAAAAAATTGTGTTTTTAAACACCGCATGCATAAGTACATGATCTGTCTTAAGAGTAACACTCGCGCAATCTTTGCGTCGCACTTCCAGATCCTTAGGTTAGTTCCTCAAGGTTTTATGCCCTTAATCCTCCCAAATATGAGCCCCCATCACTGGACTAACCGTAGACCAATTGTCTGAGAAAAATAACACCAAGATGAAATTATCAGGACTTTATTTGCCAACCCAGGACAACTAGATTTATTATCGCAAAAGGTATTGACTCAGCTTTCTTCTGGGATTACAAACGTATGAGATATAAGTGAGCACAGTTTTCACCCTGGTATAGGTTCATACGAATCAATATAGCGAGAGCTTGCTTCGCAGCTGAATACTACGTATCGAACGATGACAGATATTTTGGTTTTAGCTGTTCTTATTCTAACTACAGTGGCTAACACTGCTTATTCTCAAAGTAAGTAGAATATATTGCTATGGGGTTGTTTATCTTTGAGATAAACTTCGAGTGCCTGATCATTAGCTGAAAAAAATGCAGATTTCGGATAGCAGATAACGTCTTTGAGTTGTTTTTGCACATTTGTAGTTTTTATACTCTTCAATTCAAATAAAGTGCATGACAATATCACTATGATTGAACAAAGAAAGCATAAAATCGAGATGTAAACGAAGAAGTAAGGATGAAACAACGAAACAATTTCAAGTATCAATCCGAAGATAGCTCAGTTTTGGGAGGCGGACAGATTTTTATTTCAAGCCTTTTCTTTGGGCACAACTAAAATCGTCATTTAAAAAAATATCGAACTCAATCTGTTAGACGACTCAGTGCCGTAGAAACAAACTATTGTATTATATTAGTAAAAAGATGCAGATACTATGTAGAATCGTCCTGAAGGATATTGGAAAAGTAAAGGAATATATAGATAACGATGAATCTAAATTGATTGTATGAATGCGTAGGAATAGGAATGTACCTGAAAATGGATTGCATGAACGCGTACTAATCTATCACTATTATTCTTTTCAAACTTCATTCATTCAGGTACCTCAAATACAGGATGCAAGAAAGACCGCTTGAGGCCAAATTCCTGTTTCTATTTCATGCTGAAGGGCTACTGTACAGATGGGCGTTATAGTGCCTATATGAAGACACGGTGCTCTTCTATGTGTGGATACTGCTGTCCAGACGGAACGCTGTCTCAACTACCCTTTAACCAGGGCTGCAAAGGTATCGTAGATGTTTTAAAAACTGCAATTGCATTGGGATTTGAGGGTTAAAAGCATTGATCCCTTCGCTCAATTCTATCGTAGTACTGGATATTAATAAATTTAGTATATTGATACTGACTAGTTACAATTTTTTTTTAACTTTTATTAAGTAGGCACGTCACTACCACTATATTCAATACGACCAACACTGACATTCAGTTTACATGTTGATGTAACTAAGAAGGGCTTGAGAAAACCCGAGGTCGCATCTCGGAGAAAAATCCTCAAGGGAGGGAACAAGATATCAAACAAACTCGACTCACATATGCGGCGGTTCAGCCTGCAAGAATCTAACAGCTTACTAGCGTGACTATACAAAATCTATACAAATAAATAATAAGAAATAGATAATTGAATATAAGAAATAAGATTTATCAGTGGTATTTCTACAGAGTAGCTCTTCGTCCACTGAAATTCCAATTGGAGAATTTGATTTTTGTGTAGTGAGGAAAACCAGACAAATTATTCGTAGCAGCACTGAAGATAAGCATTAAGCAATTCTACTCACAATAGACCAGTGAGAGGCAGCCCAGTAATACCGAATGATATCCATGTCAGTCATTGATTAATATACAGTCAATGTCATTAACGTTGTCCACCGAAAAAAGACATTTACACATTTA